GTCGATGGCGCTGTCTGTGGCGGATCCACTCTCTTTCCCCCCTTCAGTCTGTGGAGCCCGGGTTGGTTAATGGTATAAGACTGTGACCGTCGGCGGGTTGCGGCCTGAGGGGTAGCGGAATGTACATGTTAGTGTTTGTTGGGAATTGCTTTCGTAATGTGCTCTGTCAGGTGGAGGACTCCGTTGTGGGGAATTGTGCATGAAAAGCCTGGGCCTTGCCTAATTGGGTTTGGAAGTGGGGGGAGGAGGTGGGGTGGAGAGAGCCGGGTCTCGGTATCTATACTGAATAAATGGGAGACATTTCGTGGCATTTTAGAGCCAGTTGACTGTCTATGGATGTGGTGTCTATGACACTTCAGAGCCCATAATGCCGTGACTCTGAAAGCAGGAGTATGAGAAACTGGGCCATGAGCACACACTATGGCCTTACAGAACCAAATATTCAGAAATATAAACAGAAAATGCTGGAGAAACTCAGCAGGTCTCCAGCATCTGTGAAGAGAGAAACAGAGTTAATGTCTTGAGTCTGATAATGACTGTTCAATATTTGGGATTGTCGAGTGAAGAGCCCAGTGTTTGCAAATGCAGGATGTAACAATCGCCAGAGCTAGAACAGAAACGATGAGTGTGGCACGATAAAGTCACGACTCGGAAATGTCAGGGATTTGAACTGGAGTCGTGTGTCAGAAATGCCATGGGCCAACACTAGGGTTGCTGATGCTGGCTCTGTCATTAAGTATAGTCAGGAACTAGATGGATTTTTTAATCAGTAAGGGAAATCAAGGGTAACAAGGAAAAGGCAGGAACGTAGAGTTGAGAATTATTAGGTTAGCCATGATTTTGTTGATTGGTGGAACAGATGAATTCCCTACACCTTACGGTCTTAAAGCATAGAAGAAATGTAAAAAGCCGGAGGGTAGAGTGTATGCCTGCAATCAGAATGGCAATGAATTCAGTAAAGTTATGTGTCAGACGTTGTGGCAGTGTTGCGAGTGACCTATCAATTGGCACAGCATTCAGGTCTTTTGCCTGTACAATTTCAACACTCAATTGTTTAGACATGATAGCTTCTGTTTTTATCATCATTTTTGCCCTCCTTGGAACCATAAAACAATACAGCACAAAGGAGGCCATTCAGTGCATCATTTCCATGCTAGTTTGTTAAAACTAGTCCCACTCGCTCACCTGTTGTATGTAGCCCAGTTTTTTTTTTGTCGTGATAAGTGCAAGACAGAAAGCTTCATCAGTATTCAAGTTCTATACCTTACCACCCAGTGACTGTAAATATTGAATCCTTAGAAGCTAAAGCAGGAGAAATTAGCATGGGAAATGAAGGGATGGCAGATAAGTTGAACAAAAAAGTGCGTCAGTCTTCACAGTGGATAGAGGATAACCTAGGGACTGATAAGTGTGAGGAAATTGTAATTAGTATCATAGAGAAAAGTACTGGGCGCATCTCAAGGGACTAAAATCCAACAAATCCCCAGGGCCTGACAGAAGGCTATAATTCATTGAAGAAATTTCAGCGAAAGTTCATTAGACAGGACCCTGAGATGAGAGAGTTGTCTTCTGATAGGCTGTGTGAATTGGTCTGTATTCTCTGGAGTTGAGAAGAATTAAAGCTTATTTCATTGAAAACAAAATAATGAAGGGCCTTGAAAGGATAGAAATGTTGACTCCAATTCTCTGATTTGCAGACTAAATTTGGAAGTGGAGTGTTCAGTGACAACTGACACATCAACCCCAACACCAAAAAAGCCTGCTGAATTGCGAGCCAATCAGCTTGTTTACAGCTGACCAGCAAGCTTTGTATCGCAAGCCTCAACTGTGGAGTCTTGCCTCCCCAAAAGATGCTAGTCATTCAGAGCCCAGTAGCACCAGGGTCCTAAAGACCATCAACGAAAGCTTGGTCTTCAAGAGGAGAAGTTAAGATGTTTCATTTTGCTGGTCACAGGGAGGGATTGGAGGTAAGGATAATGGGGTGTGTTTAAAGAAGACACCCTCTTGCCCCTTCCATCCATGTTTCCAATTGCCCCCATATTGGGACAAATGGACTCCCCTTCAACCCAGCAAGGTGTGTTCCCCAGTTTCTCAGCTGGGATAACAGCCATTGTTGGTGCCAATTGAGGCCTGTATGTCATTATTAATTGACATTAAAGAGCCTTGGTTGGTAAGTCAAGAAAGTTGTCATGGACCTTCTCTTCCAGAACTTAATTGGGAGGGGGCATGTAGCCCTCTAGGGTCAACTTGCTCAATTATTTCTCCTTACCACCGCCTCCGGGAAGGGAAAAATATTGCCATTGTTTTCAGTGGCTTGGGAATTTAGAACAGGGACATTTTCAAAAAAGGGGATCAATCATTTAAAAGTGAGGTGAGGAAAATTCTCTTCATTCAATGGATGTGACTCTTCAGAATGCCCTGCCCCAGACGGGTTGTGGATGCTCCAACTTTGAATACATTTCAAGTGGAGTAATGCAGATTTCCGGTGTCTCAGGGAATCGAAGAAAATGGGAAACAGGCGGAAAAGTGGAACTGAAGCCCACTGTCAGCCACGATCACATTAAATGGTGAAGTTTGTTCATTGAGCTGTATGATCTACTCCTGCTCCTGTTTCTTACATTCTTATTGGATGTCAACGTGTGTTCCAGTAACAATTATCTGGAATGGACAAGCTGACTAAGCAATCCCCTCAGTAGCCCTCAGGCCTTAAATTGATCTGAAACAGCCCAAAGCATTCAACTAAGATGACTCAACTGAGCATAGATCGAGGATTCAACCTGTGACATTTTTGGTCTGTGTAACTCAGCTGCACATTTGGACAGTCAAACAATCAACTCCACTATCAAATAACTATTTAAGTTGGTGGTTGGCTTACTTGAATTTGTTTTAACACCACCTTGGTTGTGAAAACAGATATTGTAGATAAACGATCTTCTATCATTTAAACCACTGAAGCCTGCACCACACTTTTAACATAACTGCTACTGCTGCATATCAACAAGCTAGCTCATGATTAGTGGAGGAAGGCAGAAGCCAGGACAGTGGAGTGGTTGTGGCACAAAACATAAACTCGAATGAGTTGCCCCTTCTCAGGCTTTATTAAAGGAAATATCTAAAAATTGTCTTCAGAGGCCATTGGTTTTGGGAAGTGTGGTGTCAAAAAGAATTGGCTGCTCAACCTGTTAAATATCTTGCGGTGCCTTCTGCCCCCCAACAGAAGTTTAGCAATTTTTGGCAGCATTAATGCTTGAACAACAAGATACAACTCCTAAATGAAAAATGGCTTTTTGAGCTGTAGTGAAGGAGTCATACTTCCAAGAGAGATGGAGAATGGGGGAAAAATTGACATAAAGTGGCCACATGAAGGGAAAATCATGCTTGACAAATTTATTAGAATTCTTTGAGGAAGTAGCAATCAGGATAGATAAAGAGGAACTAGAGAATTTAATAAATTTGGATTTCCAAAAGGTATTTGATAAGGTACTATATGTAGGGCTGCTTAATTAGCTAAGAGTCTATGGAGTTGAAGGTAGTACTATAGCATGGATAGAAGACTGGCTAACTAATAGAAGACAGAATGGTGGGATAAAGACAGGCAGTGTCAGAATGGCAACCTGTAACTAGTAGGTTGCCACAGACAGTGCAACGATCAGTGCTCGTGCCATGATTGCTTACAATATATATATTAAGGGCTTGCATGAGGAAAGTGAATGCTTTCTAGCCATGTTTATGGATGACATAAAAATAGGTGAGAAGGCAAGTGATGAGGATTACACGGTTTGTAGAGGGATATAGACAAGTTGACTGTGTGTGTAAATCTCAGCAGATGCAAAATAATCTGTGTAATGTACTTTGGCAGGAGCATTTGATTTAATTTGTTTGTTTTAATTGTCACATGTATGGAAATACAGTGAAAAGCTTTGTTTAGGAGTGGTACAGGCAGATCACAGCAAGCAAAAGATTTACAGATCAAAAAGACTTAGAGGCATACAAGTTACATTATTTGAGGCTAGAGTCCATTCAGCAGTCTGATGATGGCTGGAAAGAAGCTGTTCCTGAAGCTGCTTGTGTGTGTATTCAGGCTTCTGTATCTTCTGCCTGACAGAAGAGGCTGTAGGAGATCATTACCGGGGTGCGATGGGGCTTTGATGATGTTGGCCACCTTTACATGGAGAGAGCCCATGGATGGAAGGTTGGCTTCTGTGATGGTCTGGGCAGTGCACACCACCTTCTGTACTTTCTTACAGTCCTGAGCAGTTACGGTACCAGGCCGTTATGCACCCGGACAGTATGCTTTCAATGGTGAATCTGAAGAAGTTGGTGAGGGACCTTATGGACATGCCAAATTTCTTGAGCCGCCTGAGGAAGAAGAAGCATTGTTGTGCCTTCTTGACTGTCACATTTATGTGAGCAGTCCAGGCAGGTCGTCGGTTATCGTCACTCTGAGGAACTTGATGCTCTTCACTCTCTCAACCTCAGTTCCGTTGATGTAGATGGGGACGTGTTCTCCTTCCTTCTTTCTCAAGTCGATGATCAGTTCTTTAGTTTTGCTGACATTGAGAGACAGATTGTTTTCGTTGCACCACATCACCAAGCCCTCTATCTCCCTTCTGTATTTTGACTCATCGTTGTTAAATATCTGTCCCACTATGGTGTTGTCATCAGCGAACTTGTAGATGGCGTTCGTTCGGAATTTGGCAACACAGTGGTGGGTGTACAGGGAGTACAGCAGGGGGCAGAGGACACATCCTTCGGGGGGCTCCAGTGTTGTGTGTTATTGTGGAGGAGGTGCAGTTACCTACCCTCACTGATTGTGGTCTGTGGGTCAGAAAGCTGAGGATCCAGTTGCAGAGGGCGGGGCCGAGACTAAGGTCACACAGTTTTGAGATCAGTCTGGAGGAGATAATGGTGTTGAAGGTGGAGCTGTAGCCAACGAGCAGGAGTCTGATGTAGGTGTCTTTATTGTCCAGATGTTCCAGGGATGAGTGCAGGACTAGGGATATGGCATGCTCTGTGAACCTGTTATGTCAGTAGGCAAACTGTAGGGGACCGAGACAGGTTGGGAGACTGGAGTTGATGTGGGCCATGACCAGCCTCTCGAAGCACCTCTTGATTATCAAAGTTAATGCTATTGGGCAGTAGTCATTAAGGCGCACTGTGTGTTTTTTCTTGGGTACAGGGAGATGGTGGTCTTCTTGAAGCAGGTGAGGACTTCGGCTTGTAGGAGGAAGAGGTTGAAGATGTCAGTGAATACCTCCGACAGTTGGTCCACACAGGATCCGAGAGCTCGGTCGGGGACACTGTCCGGGCCCATCAGTTTCCTTGGGTTGACTCCCAGGAAGACCGATCTGAGTTCTGAAATGGTGACGGGGGAGCAGGTGTATCAGGGGCTATCGGGGCAGGCGTTGCCATGTCGGTGGTATTCTGTTCAAACCGAGCATAGAGAGTATTGAGCGTGTCAGAGAGGGATTTGTCATTGTCTGCCGTCTTACACTGTTTCATTTTGTATCCTGTAATGTTGTTTGGGCCTTGCCACAGACAGCGGGATTCTGTTTGGTAAGTCTGGGCTTCTAACTCGGTCCGGTACTGCCTCTTGGCCTCCCTGATGGCTTTGTGGAAGTCATATCTGGATTTTCTGTATTGGTCCGGGCCACCTGACTTAAATGCTGCACGTCTGGCCTTCAGTAGGGAGTGGATTTCCTGGTCCATCTAATGTTTACAGTTGGGGAACACTCAGTTTGACTTCTTTGGTACACAGTCCTCCAGACATTTGCTAATGAAGTTGGTGACGGTGGTGGCGACTCGTCTAGGTTTTCCGCTGAACACTTAAACACGGTCCCGTCCACCGAGTCCAAGCTGTCCCGGAGGTGGTCTTCTGCTGTATCGGGCCAGCACTGTACTTCGTTTTGTGAGGGATTCTCCCGTTTCAGCTTCTGCTTGTAGGCTGGGAGGAGGAACACAGCGCTGTGATCGGATTTTGAAAAGTGTGGGTAGGGGATTGAGCAGTAGGCATCTTTGATGGTTATACAGCAGTGGTCCAGAATGTTCGGAGTCCTGGTGGGACAGGAGATGTGTTGGTGGTATTTTGGCATCACCTGTTTGAGGTTGGCTTTGTTGAAGCCACTGACTACAAGGAACAGCGGAGTTTAAAATTATTTTAATGGAGAAAGAATGCAGAAAGCTGCAGTGCAGAGGGATTTGGAAGTCTTCATGCATAAATCACAAAAAGCTTATATATAAGTTCAGCAGGTGAAATATTGGCCTTTAGAAGAGTATGCAATATAACAGGGAAGTCTTGCTAAAACTGTACAAAGCACTAATTAGACTACACCTGCAATACAGCGAACAGACGCCATGTCATTAAATATATTCAAGGCTGAGATAGCCATTTTTAATTAGTAATGAAATCAAGGTTTTTATTGGGAAAGGGCAGGAAAGTAGAGTTGAGGATTATCAGATGAGCCATTATCTCATTGAATGGTAGAGCAGACATGAGGGGCTGAATGGCTTACTTCTATGTCTCACGGTCTTGAAACCAAACTCAACTTGCATGCTATTTTCCCAATCATTAATATTGAGTTGCCAAACCTACAGACTTTCTTACTCGTTAATTTCTTGCCCTGCTGTAGGCATGCATCTCATTGGTTGAATGTAGAGTACTGGTTGTCGTGGCTATGTCAAAGAGCTGGGCCAGTCTGCCCACAGGGTCTGATGGAAGATGTGCAGAGCCAAATGGAGAAAAGATTGAGGTAAATTCATGAGCAAAATGACTCACTGTATCAGACTAACATACTCTTTTGGACAATGCATCAATGCTTTCAAAACAAAAGTCATGAATGCTGAATCTTTCCACCTCTGCTTATTCCATTAACACAGCGCTTAACCCCCATGTTTTGACCCAGCTTTTTCTCACACATCCAAAAATCTGGCCCTGTGTTCACTTTGTCTGATTACTGTCCTGTTAGTAGCTTTGGTTTGTTTCACATGGTGTTGTTTATGTCTTAGTGATAATGTTGCATTCGCTCTTGACCGTCCACACAACTGTACCATTCTCTGGACTAGTCTGTTCCAGTAGTCATTCTATCATAATTAATCTATTTCTGGTGATTGAAAATATTACCCCAACAAGAATGCCTTTTGACCCCACCTAATGATGTTGACTACAACTTGTTTATCCTCTTGCAGCTTAAGGTACCCCAGAAACTATGGTCAGTATTAATGTATTCTCTTAGAAACTAAGATGATCAGTGAACAACCAGGTGCTTCCAGAGTACTTTTAAATACAGAGTTCCAGGATTTTGACCCAACAACAGTGAAAGAATAGTGATATTGCTCCAGGTTCGGTTGATGATTGAGTGGAACTTGCAGGTGATGGTGTTTCAATGCATCCTCTGATACTGTCCTTCTAAATAGTAGAGGTCACGAGTCTAGAAGGTGCTGTTGAGGAAGCTTAAGAGGGGCATCTTGTAGAGGTTACACACTAATGCCACGGTGCCCTGATGGCGGAAACAGTGAATGATGTAGGTGTTGGATGGGTGCCAATTGAACAGTCCACTTTGTCCTGGATGCCATTGAATTTTGTGAGTATTGTTCAAGCTATACTAATCCAGATAAGTGAAGGGTATTCTGTCACACTCTTGACTTGTGCTTTGTAGGTCTTGGAAAGTTTTAGGGGAGTCAGATTAGTTACTTGCTACAGAAATTTCAGTCTCTCACCTATTCTTGTCGCCAGGGTATGTATAGTCCATTTAAGTTTTTAGTCAGTTGCAAACCCCCCAGGATGTTGATGGCAAGGATTCAACAATAGTAATACTGCTGAATGTCAAGGTTTGTTGCTTAACTATCTCGTGTTGGAGATTGTCATTACCCGGCAGTTTCTCGTGCTAATTTTACTTGTCACTTATCAGCTTGCATTCAGGAACAGGACCAAACCTTTGAGTGCTGCACTGTATAACTCTCTGGACGGAACATTGAATTCAACAAATTGAAATCATAACCACTGCCTCAATTATGATTTTTTTTATGCTGGTTCAGCTTTTTTCTCATTTTGTTCCTTAATTTTACATTTGCACAGCTGCTATTTAGCTATTCTTACCTCATCTGGAAGTGCCTTTTGCTTCTTTTCTGTACCCATAACTCTCTTTGGCTTTTCTACCAGGAATCCTTTTTTGACATTTAATCTCTTCTGCTGTCAGCCTTATCACAGACCATCCCTTTTGTTCTTCTTCCATCCCTCCCTTCCAGTTCCTCATCTTTCCATCTTTCCTCAGTTCCAATGAAGGGGCATTAATCTGAAACTTTAACTGTTTCTCTCCACAGATGCTGCATAATCCAAAGTTTATGCTTGAAACTTATGCTTGATTTTGTAAGTGGCAGTGGGAATCAATTATTTCCTTCTCCTGATTGTTTTCTCCTTCCTTACAGCCATATGTTGAAATATATTTTGATATGAAGGGGCAATACAATAGTGCTATTATTTTTAATGCATGAAAATGAATATCAGCAGGCTTATTGTTTTTGTTCTGAGGATATGAGTGTCATAAAAATATCATGGGGGAGGCAGTGGCCTAGTGGTATTATCACTGGATTGTTAATCCAGAGACCCAGATAACATTTTGTGGACCCAGGTTTGAATCCCGCCATGGCAGATGGTGGAATTTGAATTCAATAAATATCTGGAATTAAGAATCTAATGATGACTGTAAATCCATTGTCAATTTTCAGAAAAACTCATCTGGTTCACTAATGTCCTTCAGGGAAGGAAATCTGACATCCTTACCTGGCCTGGCCTATACGTGACTCCAGACCCACAGCAATGTAGTTGGTTCTTTACTGCCCCCTGGGCAATTAGGGATGGGCAATAAATGCTGCCGAGCCAGCGAGCCCTCATCTCATGAATGAATAAAAAAAATAAAAAAGGCTGATATTTGTTGTTCAACCTTAATTGCACTTGGGAAAATGTTGATGAGCTGCCTTCCTGAACCACTGTAGTCTATCTGGTATAGATTTACCTACAGAACAGTTAGAGAGGGAGTTCTGCGATTTTGAATTAGTGGCACTGAATGAGAGGCATTATAGTTTCAAGTCAGAATGGTGTGTGTTTGGAGGAGAACTTGCAACTGGCAGTGTTCCAATTTATTTGTCCTTCTAGATGGTAAAGGTCACAGATAAGTAAGACACTGTCAAAAGAGATTTGGCAAGTTGTCAGTATGCTGCTACTGTGAATGGGTGGTGGAAGAGGGAATATGTTTAAGATGGTGGATAGAGTGCTAATCAAGCAGGCTGCTTTGTCTTGAATGGTGTCAAGCTTCTTAAGTATTGTTGGAGTTGCATTTATCCATGCAAGTGAATAGTATTCCATCGCAGTCTTGTCTTTCCCTGTGTAGATGGTGGACAGGCTGTGGGAGACAAGAGGTGAGTTATCAGCTGCAGAATTCTGACCTGTTTTTGTAGCCAAAGTATTTACCACAGTATGGCCAGTTCATTTCAGTTTGTGATGAGGATGTTGATAGTGAGGGATTCAGTGATGGCAATGCTTCGGATATCAAGAGAGATGATTAGATTCTCTCTTGTTGGAGATGCTCATTGCCTGACAGTTGTGTAGCATAAATATTACTTGCCACTTATCAGTTTAGGACCTGAATGCTATCCAATTCTTGCTGCATTTGGACATGAACTGCTTCAGTATCTGATGTATTGCAAATGGTGCTAAACACTGTGCAATTATCAATGAATATCTCACTTTTGCCTTTATGAGGGAGGTTTGGTCATTGATGCAGCAGCAGAAGATGGTTGGACCTAGAACACTATCTTGACAAACTCTTGCAGTGATGTCCTGGAGCCGAGATTCATTATACAGCACTATCACAATGTTATGCTTATCCATTGACCAAAATTATGCACTAGGCTCTACAATAAGTTGACATCTGGTGAATTTTGTTTCCTGGTTTTTAAATACTCCTGGTATCTATAAACAAGCACTGCTAAGGCCACTTCCAGCTTAAACTCTGTCTCTTGAGAGTAAGTGTTGTTCAGTATCACAACCAAACCTGATTTTGGCATCACCGGGAAACTTCATACTCCCACAGAAGCTGTTGTGCAAATAATCTATTGAATTTCCCCTTCTCAAACCACCAGCTAATTCTAGCACTTTTGGTTGAGATCTGTTTGCTTAGCACAGCCTGACTGTAAATCTGACATTTTCCTGGTCTTTCAGCTGAGCTGGTCACTGAATAATCTCATTGAACAATTGGAAAGTTTTCTTCTGGTGAGATATGTCTTTGCTCTTGGAAAGATAACTAAAACTTGTTTCCTTCAGGAGAGTAGTTTTGAGGAAAGAAAAGTGGTGTGTTAATGTATTTTCCCTTTTTCAACCACAGATTAATTCCTTTTACATCCAGAACATTTTGTTTGAATTCAGAGTTTCAAACTAAACACAGCCATTTTCTTGATTGTGCAACCATTTGTGCAAATTATAAACTGAAGGTTACCCTATCTTTATAAAATTTATTTGCTATTTTAGCAAATATGTTGCCCAATTTAAAATAATGAGGAATCCCAGAGTTTAAAAAAAGTAGACTGAGGAATAGCATGAGTGTAATAAAAGACTGTTGCATAATTACTAAGCATCATTGTTATAACATCATGATGAAACTTTCATTCAAATCTGGACATATTAGATTGTGAAGGTGTAGGTTTAATAGCAGCTTTCATTACAAATAGTGATAAGAGTCTGGATCTGTAATGACTATTCTGGGTATGTGTGTATTTTATAGAAATAAAGGAAATGTATATGTACAGTGCCTGTTAAGACATCCCACAATGCTTCACAGCCAATTAAGTAGTATAATTTAAGGATACATAGCAGTGTGATGATACCAAGGCTTTAAGAGGTGTGATTTGTTCTTTTTTTGTGAAGAAAAATTGAGACAGAGGTGAAAAACCGTCTGCTCACAGCCAATAAAGTAAACAATTTGTTAGGTCTTGGGTATTTTAAAAGTTGGAACAATAGAAGCAGCCTGAATGGGTGGGGTCAAGCTCCCACAGAACCAGGATTTTTAGTTTTAGCTTTCTGCAGTTGCTGGAGTCTTGAAGCTGGATGTGGAAGCTCTTATTCCTCTCTCTGTTACAGCTAAAAGTTGGGGTTCTTTTCCTGTTGCTAGAATTACACGCGAGACAATCCACTTGACTGGATTTGTCTGCCAAACATGTGTTTGTGGGATGTTACTATATCGGAACAGTTAATTAATAGTGGTTAATATATTTTATTATTTTGTTAAGCATTTTGATAGTTCATGTTGAGCTAATTCTTTTATTTTTATTTTATATGTATTTTAACTGGAGTGTAAAAATAAAGTGTGTTTTGCTTAAAGTCAAGTAGTTTGACCAATTGAATTGCATCTGGAATGCAACGCTTTACATTTATCTTTAAAAAAAGAAAAAGTTAGGGTCTGGGCTGTCTTCTTAATATATTTTGAGTGGGTTTGGTCTGGTCCACAACAAGCAGTCAACTTTGTACACGTCAAGGTCCCACAGACAACAGTGAGGTAAATGACTATGTAAGTGATGTTGGTTGAGGGATAAATGTTGGACAGGACGACCCACTCCTCACACCCTCACTCTTTCTGGAATAATGCTGTGAGATGTTTTGCATTCACTTAAGAGGACAGGCAGGACCCCAGCTTAACATCTCCTCCTAAGTACAGTACCTTGGCCAATGTACTGCTTCTACACTGTATTCAAATGTTCATCTGGATTATGTATCTAACTTTGGAGTGATATTTGAACTCATATCTTTTCCACCTTGAGTTCAGGTCAACATCTTACTGTTTCATACTAATCAGAATTTTCTGTGTAGAACAAGACTTGTAGTCAATGTAGCTATTAATTGAAATCAATATTGCATAGTGTACTTCGGCATGACAGATATGATTAGTGTGCTTTTAAGCTTGAGTATTGTACAAAGTAGCTTAAATTTGATGGAAGGCAATTGCTTATCTGTCTGCAGATTCTAATTTGAATAGTATTTCCCCAAAGTTGTCTAATGAAAGAAATTCGGGTAGACCTATATAAAAGCAAGATACTGCTGTCTGATACTTGCTGGATTAGAAATGTTAACACTTTTTCTCTCTCCACAGATGCTGCCAGATCTGTTGAGTTTCTCTAGCATATTCAGTTTTTTTTCCCCCAGGTAGACCTATCGGGTACTAACTTTCCAGTTAAAATTAGATTTCAAGACAACAAGGTGCAGAGCTGGATGAACACAGCAGGCCAAGCAGCATCATAGGAGCAGAAAGGCTGACGTTTCGGGCCTAGACCCTTCATCAGAAATGGGGGAGGGGAAGAGGGTTCTGAAATAAATAGGGAGAGAGGGGGAGGCAGATAGAAGATGGATAGAGGAGAAGATAGGTGGAGAGGAAACAGACAGGTCATAGAGGCGGGGATGGAGCCAGTAAAGGTGAGTGTAGGTGGGGAGTTAGGAAGGGGATAGGTCAGTCCAGGGAGGACGGACAGGTCAAGGGGGCGGGATGAGGTTAGTAGGTAGGAGATGGGGGTGCGGCTTGAGGTGGGAGGAGGGGATAGGTGGGAGGAAGAACAGGTTAGGGAGGCGGGGACGAGCTGGGCTGGTTTTGGGATGTGGTGGGGGGAGGGGAGATTTTGAAGCTTGTGAAATCCACATTGATACCATTGGGCTGCAGGGTTCCTAAGCGGAATATGAGTTGCTGTTCCTGCAACCTTCGGATGGCATCGTTGTGGCACTGCAGGAGGCCCAGGATGGACATGTCGTCTGAGGAATGGAAGGGGGAGTTGAAATGGTTTGTGACTGGGAGGTGCAGTTGTTTATTGCGAACCGAGCGTGTGTGTTCTGCAAAGCGGTCCCCGAGCCTTCGCTTGGTTTCCCCGATGTAGAGGAGGCCACAACGGGTACAGCGGATGCAGTATACCACATTGGCAGATGTGCAGGTGAACACTGCTTGATGTGGAAAGTCTTCTTGGGGCCTGGGATGGGGGTGAGGGAGGAGATATGGGGGCAGGTGTAGCACTTCCTGCGGTTGCAGGGAAAAGTGCCGGGTGTGGTGGGGCTGGAGGGGAGTGTGGAGCGGACAAGGGAGTCACGAAGGAATTGGGAATAGGGGATGGCATGGTCCTCCCACCCACCTTCCTGCAAAAATGCCATTCCCAATTCCTTCGCCTCCGCCGCATCTGCTCCCAGGATGAGGCATTCCACTCCCGTACATCTCAGATGTCCCCGTTTTTCAAGGACCGCAACTTCCCCGACTCAGTGGTCGAGAACGCCCTCGACCGTGTCTCCCGCATTTCCCGCAACTCATCCCTCACACCCCATCCCCGCGATAACAACCAAAAAAGAATCGCCCTCGTCCTCACGTACCACCCCACCAACCTCCGGATCCAACGCATAATCCTCCAACACTTCCGCCATCTGCAAGCCGACCCCACCACCAAAGACATCTTTCCCTCCCCACCCTTATCTGCTTTCCGGAGGGACCACTCTCTCCGTGACTCCCTTGTCCGCTCCACACTCCCCTCCGGCCCCACCACACCCGGCACTTTTCCCTGCAACCGCAGGAAGTGCTACACCTGCCCCCATATCTCTTCCCTC